AACATTTCTCGGTGTTGGATCACCATCAATCAGATCCTCAAATTGGTCAATGAAAGAGTTGAACAATAAAACTTTCACCGTAAGTCCCCTAAAATTAGAAGATCATCAGTTTTCATAGAATGGTGTTCAATTTTTGGGAATTAGGATGCAGATGTGATAGGGCAAAAGCGTAATGCCAATTTCTATCTTGTAGTAAAACCGGAAATCCGGGTATCGTCTCTCAGGGACTGGTACAACCTTATATTCTATCAATTCTATGGAGCAAACTATAGGTGAAAATGGTTTGGTTGATGAAACTATTAACTAATAGCAAAATATTTAAACCAATTAAGCAAAGTAAACTTGTCGGGAGAAATTCAATGGGAGAAACACCGGGATTCACTACCTATCCTATCCAGATTAATTCACATATTCCAATCAATTTAATCCAACTCTCTACAGCCAGGATATCACTACTGTTCTAGCTATCCCTGTCGGGAATTACTACGTACTAAACAAATAATTCAAATCCTACTGTCATAGCTCAATAAATTAATTATTTAGTCTTAAGACCGATATCCCAATCAAAACCACATAGCACCTTATTTAATCCAATGTCGCTTCGATAAGTTACTATGTCACATGAGATATGTTCAGCTATTAGGGTTTCACTGTCGCTAATAACCTAATTAACTACAAACCATTGTATTGGTGGCCAGTCAACACAAAGCATTAAGTAATTTCATGCAATAGAGATTGGAAGAAAAGAAATACGAATCAATCCATCAAGTATAGAAATAGCTATATCCTATGATGTTTCCCCCAGAAAATTGGGGTTTAGTTCATGACGAAATCAAAAAATATAATCATGTTCATAATAATCATATCACGAATCAAAACAAAAGGAAAAGAGTATTGAGATTTTCTTCCCCACTGCTCTGATCGCGATCCCCGCAAAGCTTCTCCGTGCGGCGCTGTGCTACTTCTCCGCGCTCCTGCTCGCTCTCCCGGAACTTGCTTCGCCAAAAGAATTTCGTCCCAAACTGCCTCTCCGTCCTTTTCCCCGTCCAAAGAATTCCTTTTTTCCCCAAAAATCTGTCCCTCCTGTGTCCAATTAATTCCGTCTGGCAGTCTAATTCATGACCGACCCAAATCCTCTCCCTCGTCTTTTAATTCCGGTCCAAGTAAATAGAAACCCAAGGAATTTCGTTTTTCTTCCCCCAAACGCAGCGCTCCACCAAACCTTTCATTTTTCAGTTCCAATTTCCGTCAAACACAACCAGAATCTCCTCCACTAAAAGCCAACAGACTTGGGCCAAATAAATGCTCCTTAATTGCCCCCTACTAAGCTCTCTTGGCGCTGAAGAAAAATGGGATTGTGTGGCCCATTGTTGATTTGTCTAGGGAAAATTGGTAGCCACCCCTTCGAGCCCAATTCGTAATGCTCTTTAGCTTAAGAGTAAAACCCAAAACTAAGTCTGCTTTTAATGTTGTTCGTGGGACACCAATCTATTTTTTGCTTGTACTCTTTTCCTTGTTTATCTGTGCAATTTCTCTTTTTTCGTGCTTTCTTCACCTGTAAAACATCAAACTCATGGCACTAGGCAGTAATGGTTTTTCAACCATTCCCTGATTAACGAGCCCTAAAATAGCACCAATCGGCTTAAACATATCATGGGATAGTCACATAAAGCTCAAGAATCCAATATACTAAAGCCGATTATCAATATGGAACAGCCTTACTCAAACAACATTAGGAAAACTTGTTTGGTCCGCTGAATAACAACGCAATGTTCATAAATAGTTTATGTTGGCTGTACAAAAGCTATTTCGCCTACCAGATCTACACACCATATCAAGTCAATGTTATAATTCCTCAAATAATAAAGTCTAGCCTAACTACTGAGAGTTCTCAATATGAATTCATTGTTTACCTGAAAGAAATTGCTCATTCTGAAAAGCATCCAACAAATTAGATAGACCTAGGAATCGAAAGCTTAATAAAGGTATGTCTGCAGCATTTGCAAGTCATTGCATACCAGTGTGACGATAAAAAGAGATCTGCCTATTTGAAATTGCAACTTTAAAAGAAGCCTCATAGGAATCAACATCAAAGTGTGCAATTTTGTAGATTCCTCCTTGTTGTATAGTTGGTAAGAAGCTAGGGATGTATAGGCGATGAATGACAGTTTCCATTTCTGTTCCCTGCAAGTGTTTTTTAGTCAAAGACTGAACACTTAGAACCGTGTGTTGGTTGAATGATTCATACATGAAATGTGATAATAAATCCAGCATGGAGACAGAATACCAATGATGTCAGATGGAAATAAGTATATATGCACGTACTAACCTCATTATCTAGCAACAACATGTGTAGGAAAAGCGTTTCATTGGTGCCATCAAACATAGTCCTCCATAACCGCAGAATTCTGACCCGAACAGACCATTGTTGTCCGTAGGAAACCTGTAAATCACGTAAGGACTGGAACACCATGTTTGTGTTGGAGTTTAAAGGAGCAATCTCGGTAGGTTATTTTGGGCTCAGAAACTAGTGAATGGGAGTGGAAAAGGTAAAATGTATGTTATGGATCTTCGTTTTTTTTTATAACGAGGAACACCCTCCACGGTCACCACATTTTGTGGTGCCGTAGTCGGGCTAAACCCCGGGACCTCTGCCGGCGGTCCGGGTGATAGCGGGATGCCTCCGGGAACACCATGGTGGCGGTGAGGATCGAACCTGGGACCTTATGGTCACCAGTCCTCCTCCCTTACCACCAGGCTATGTTATGGATCTTCGTTAACCAAAATAATTTGGAGTAGGATGAGATAATAATGAACCTGAAAGTTGCGTGGGGTGCAATTAAATGAGGAAAATAAAAATGGGTTGAGTGAGGTGTGTGATTAGTGATATGATCCAAATTCTTTATCTCATTTTATTGCTTTTTGATAGCTTGTTTGATCTTTACTTCTTGATGTTCAGAGTTCCCACTTTTTCATAATAATAATAAAAACACATACTAATGAAATTATTCTTATTCTCTTCTTTATCAACATGTGTTATTGGGAGAGGCTCACATCTCATGCTTTAATTAGTAATTGGTGAAACATTGAATGATCAATGAGTGCTAATGGAAAATTCTTAGCTCCAACCTTGGTTGGACGCAGAAGTTCCAACCAGCCACATGTCAGTTTCCTATTGGTGAGTTCATCTTTCTTTTTTATATTTTAATTCTTGATTTATTTAGCATAATTAAGAACATTAAACATTACGAGAAAATGAAGGTGAGTCCACCAACAACAAAAGGGTTTCATCGGTGCCAGCAAACATAGTCCTCCATAACCGCAGAATTCTGACCCGAACAGACCATTGTTATCCGTAGGAAACCTATAACTCAAGTAAGGACTAGAACACCATGTTTTGTATTGAGTTTAAAGGAGCAAGCTCGGTAGGTTAATTCTTGATTTATTTAGCATAATTAAGAACATTACACATTAAGAGGAAAAAAAAGGTGAGTCCACCAATAACAAAGGGTTTCATCGGTGCCAGCAAACATAATCCTCCATAACCACAGAATTCTGATCCGAACAGACCATTGTTGTCCGTAGGAAACCTATAACTCACGTAAGGATTGGAACACCATGTTTTGTATTGGAGATTAAAGGAGCAAGCTCAGTAGATTATTCTGGGCTCAGAAACCAGTGAGTGGAACATTAAACATTAAGAGAAAAAGAAGGTGAGTCCACCAATAACAAAAGGGTTTCATCGGTTCCAGCAAACATAGTCCTCCATAACCGCAGAATTCTGACGCGAATATACCATTGTTGTCCGTAGGAAACCTGTAAGCTAAAATGTAACATTTTGCACAATATTTAATGGTGAATTGAAGTCTAGTTTTCATAAAAATAAAAAGAAGATAGAGGTGTAGTTTGTATAAGAATTAAGAGGTAAGTAGTTAGAAAAAGTAAATAACAACAAATGTCACATAGATTTCAGTTCAGATGCAAGTTAGGCTCCAAGATTAAACAATCAAAGTTTAGGAGTTTGTTACACGTTATTTGGCTAAAACTACAAGTCATGCTGATTTGAAAAAAAAAATGATCGATCTCTTCGAGAACATCCAATCATATAATCATTACATTATCATTTTTAGAACGAAATTCCGTCGTTGCAAAGAAATGTAAAGTCGGTTGGTTGGTCAATATGTACCTCATTATGTTGTAACGAGATTCCACCACTAGAAATGTTTCGGTATTAAACAAGAACATGAAAAAATCTCTTATCTCGAGTTAATATCAAATGATTCATGATGGAAATGGTTGATCGAGCTAACCAAAAGCTATTGAGGTGTACACATGACGTCTTGAAATTGGTCGACCCGCAAATTAAGAGGTCGTTGTGTTCAACTAAACGGTCAACCATTATTGTGATACAAATGACCTACATATTCTCTACTACTGGGTCGACCGATTGAAACTCGCAATCGAACATTATAAACCACGCAAATCAATCACATCATAAATCACTACGCCGGTCAACCACACCAGTCGATCGAATTTGTTAGCCATACTCAAAAGTACCATAACTTGAGGTCTCTTCACAAATTCACCATAAAACATATATACCCGTAGTTTAAATACAGTTTCTGTAAATTTTCCCTTAATTACTACTTAAGAGCGAATACAAAAGTGTAATATTCCCACTCCCGGTCCCACAATCAATCCACAACCCAGCACATATTCGACCAATTGTGATGGCCTCGTCACAAACAAGACAAAAAACACCAATATAAGAGAAATCAAAACAACGTTCATCCACAATAATACTACACTGAATAATGCCATACAAAAATTATCCAAGATCACAACCCTTCTGTGGCTCTCCTTTCTAGTTCCCATTCCCCTCCACCACGCTATCTAGCCACCACCAGGCATTAGCACCAATTTCCCCGACCTCTATCTCTAGTCTCGATCTCTTACTTCCCCACAACGTCCAATTCCCCCCAGTCAGTACTCGCCAAACCATGAGCGACCCCGTCGACAAGCTGGTCACCTTCCTCGCCAAAAGAGACGGCATCGACAAGCTGGTCAAGACCTTCCAGTACGTCTCCAAGCTGGTCCACTACCACGTGGAGCCCACCCGCCCGGACCTCGCGGGCCGCTTCAAGCAATGGGAGGTCGCCTCGGGCCTCAGCAGGAAGGCCTTCCGCACGGGCCGGTTCCTGACCGGGTTCAACGCCCTCCGCAGGAACCCCGGCCCGTCCGAAACGTTCAGGCTGCTGGCCGTCCTGGCCAACGCAGGGGAGATGGTCTACTTCTTCTTCGACCACTTCCTCTGGCTGTCCAGGATCGGCGTGCTGGAGGCCAGGCTGGCACGCCGGATGAGCTTCGTGTCGGCGTTCGGGGAGTCGTTCGGGTACGTGTTCTTCATCGTCGGGGACTTGATACTGATCAGGGAGGGGGTGAGGAAGGAGAGGGAGCTTCGGCAGAGAAAGGGAGGTGGCGAAACGGCGTCGTTGGATGAGGGGATCGGGAAGATAAGAGCGGATAGGGTGATGCGGCTGATGGGTGTGGCGGCGAACGTGGCGGACTTGTTTATTGCGCTGGCGGATATTGAGCCCAACCCGTTCTGTAACCATACGGTTACGCTTGGGATTAGTGGGCTGGTCTCGGCTTGGGCCGGGTGGTACAGAAATTGGCCTTCCTAAGGGGAACGAGGTCAATTTGTGCATATGTATTTGAGTCTTCACTCTTGATGAATGGGGAGAATGGGAAAATGTGAGGAGAAAAAACTTATTAGATCATAACGCATGTTGTAATAGCTTTGCAACTTGAAGATATGAGGCTCTCGTTCATCACAAAAAGGTCTACCTTTGATGTTATAAAAGCTCATGAATTTTCGCATTTCTGTTTACCACTTCATCCACGGATTTTGTGCAAGTCAACTCTCAATCATTCAATAAACACATATCAGATACTTCTGCTCTAAAAAAAAACCACATGTCGCGGAAGCTAGCTTGTGCAAATGCAATCTAATGAGTTGCAGTCATTCTTTTGTCTAGGTGTGGAAATCGGTACAGTATCAGTATCCCAATACCAAATACCGAATTACACCTTAGAATCAATCTCAATCTCTAAATAATTTCGGTATCCCAATCCCAATCCCTAAATATTTTGGTATCTCAATCGGTACTTCGATATCTCAATCGGTATTATCAAATACGAACTTAATTACCTTTATAAGTATTAATTAAATATATAAATTAGATTTGATTGTTTAATATTGAACAAAGAGACTAAACAAAGAGTTTTGAGTTTGGCTAGAGCTAGGATATGGTTAAAGAGAATGAAGTAGAGGTGACATCTCAAGTTTTTCTCATTAGTAATTTTTAATTTAACGAATTGGAGGCTGAGAGAAGACTAATACTAGTGTTTGTTTTTTGGTGTTATCAAAATAACAATAGATTGGTGGTTGAGGGTAGTGTAGTAGTGAATGAGAGAGTCTAGTTGAGAGGAAAAAATGCTCACTAACTTATATTTCGGTATTGTTCAGTATTTCGGTATATACCGATCACAATCCCGTAATCCCTAATACCAAATAACAATTGAAATTGAATCTCAATCCCAATCCCAAGAAATAATACATGTATTTGGTAATACCAAATATAGACAAATTCGATACGGTATTCGGTATATTTCAAATACCGATACCAAACTTCCAGCCTTACTTTTGTCCCAAGCCACGACAACACTCATTTAACGGTCAACCAAAAAATGTAATATGTTTTTCTAAATCTCTATATCACTCCTGTGCGTGATCCATATACCACATTTGTATAAACATGACAAGACTACACAAAGGTATAAAAAAGTGCATGTGTAGATCAAATGTAAAAAAATATAAAAATAAATTCAATTTCTTCATTGTCCCAAGTGTTGAGCAAGTGATCGACTAAAACATCTAGATTCTAGACAAGATTTACAAGTCCATCTCAAATAAAAAAGATAACATCATATTGTGTAACATAATCTACAACTATATCTCGAATAAAAATTGGCGTAGCAAATTAAGTTTTTCTCGTTCTACATAAAACAATTTTCATTTTGTTATTCCGTATCATGATTTTGTGATAAAATATGCAACGCCTGGATATCTTCATGATGGAGTTTGTTTGTAAAATAATGTTTTCGGGTAGCGGGCTACGACTTCGGCCTCGAACCCGGCTAGGCGGCTACAGCCTACAAGTACGCACGTTTATTAACGTTGGCGGTTGGCCTCGAACGCACCGGTTAGCCCCGAACCGAATGACTTGCCTTGGCTGTGTCATAAACCTGGGTTAAAGATTTAAAGAAACCACAATAGAGTGAGTAGACTCCCCACGAGATCGACCTCTCGCCAACGCCCAATTTTCTCTCGTCCAGTTTCTGGATCTTCGCCGAGATCCTCACCATTACCTCGTTAGATTCTCCGCATCCGATCTCATTCGCCCTTGCTCCTTGCATTTTGGATCTGCCCGGTTTACACCCTACACCAGCCGGAATTCCTTCTCCCTGCGGCAATCTGGGGTTTTCCGGAGATGGCGGAAGCAGGCACGAATTCGCGCTATGTCAAGCTCACTAAAGAACAAGCCCCACTCGAGATTAATCCCGGCGAGCTCAATCAGCCAATCGATGTCCCTCAGGTTCGGAATTCTTTCTCCCTCCTTTCTTTTGACGTAATCGGAGCGCAGTTTGTCCCATTTGCCCTGAAATTCGTGTTTGCGGCGTCGTCCGTCTGAGATCTTGTCGTTAACTGGCGGTTAAATGCGTGGCAGCTGACTGTTCACAAGTGTAATGAGTGTGGGCAGCCGTTGCCGGAAGACTTTGCGCCGCCGGCCGACGAGCCTTGGAGTACTGGGATCTTTGGATGTGCTGAAGATTCCGAAAGCTGTAAGTTTTGTGCTGACCCTAATGCTCTGATATCGTTCATGTATCAAGCAAGATTCCGTTGTGAGATCTTGTGATGGCAAACGTGCAATTGATGTCTATTCCTTTGATGCCTGTTCTATTGCGATTGTTTTTTATGTCGAAGGGTAAATGGCCTTGAGAGTAAGGGGAAACGCAGTTCCACAATTTGTACGAGAACGCTGTGATTAGTATAGGATCTCCTCCGTTACTTCGAGAATTGAGATGTTTATCATGGATGCCAGAGTATTGAGTGATGCTGTTGTTTTTCTGTTATGGCTATTCTGCAGGCTGGACAGGGCTATTCTGCCCCTGTGTCCTGTTTGGGCGGAATGTTGAGAGTATGCGAGATGATACACCATGGACTACACCATGCCTCTGTCACGCCGTCTGCATCGAGGGTGGTATTGCGCTAGCTGCAGTGACGGCACTCTCCCATGGTGTTGTAATGGATCCAAATACATCGTTTCTTGTATGCGAGGGTCTGTTGTTCGCTTGGTGGATGTGTGGCATTTACACTGGTATCGTTAGGCAGTCTTTGCAGAAGAAGTATCATCTGAAGGTAATTCTTCTGACATCTGGGTTTTTGTTGTGTCTTTTCTTGTGGCCAACTTGATCGTTGGACCCTGGCTTTGTTCATTTGCAAAACAAGTGCACTATTATATGTTGGGAGCACTATGAGTTGTGTTGGGTTATTCTGACTGGTGATCTGTCTGCTATTTGCATTGTCCTGTAAACAAAGCTCTTTCAGGAGATTGTAAGACCTTGGAGTTCTAGTTTGCGTTTCATCTAATCTAGAACCCATAGTTATGTTGTTTCTCGAGTCATTTGTGATGAACTTTCTGGTACCTCCTTGACGTTGGAGAAGCTTCTTCCTATTAACTCGTCATGTTTAGACCACTTGAATTTCTAGCATTTCGCCAGCACCAAATTTGCCTTGGTGTATCGATCAGTGGCTCTGAGCCAGCAATATGCCTTTGCTCAGCCATTTTATAATCCTGTCCTTTAAGCGGAACTCCCTGAATGCCCTATGAACTTAAAGCATCCAAGAAGATGGACCTTGTATTCTTATGACTAATGTCTCTCAATGGTTTGCAGAACGCTCCATGCGACCCGTGCATGGTGCACTGCTGCATGCACTGGTGCGCTCTCTGCCAGGAGCACAGGGAGATGAAAGGACGCCTCTCGGATAACTTCGTCATGCCAATGACCATCGTCAACCCCCCTCCGGTCCAAGAGATGTCAGTCACAGAGACCTCTACCACCGAAAACCATGACCGTCCTGCTCCATCTTCATCAGATAAGGGCTCCTCTCAGCTGGAGATGCAGGCTCTATAGTCATTAGTGAAACAACAGACAGTCATGGCGAGATTATCGTTCATTATCGGCCTGGATTTCACTTTAGAACAAATCAGACTTAACTTTATACTTGTTTATTGCCCTTGATGGCACCCTTTTGTAGAGTGAGCTTGGTAGTTCTTAGAAACGATTATTCCCCACCGTCGAGAGAAAGTTCATCTATGACATTGATGAATTGACAGGATCATTGATTGAGGTAGCAATGGCCGGCTGGGAGCCGGGTGCATATGTTGAAGCAATCAGGGAGCACTCAGTGCTGGCGAAACTGGTGTAACGTGAGGGGTCCTCCGAATGATTTGGGACCAGAAAAATATGAGTCGGGGGAAGAAGTGGGAATTTGATGCATTTGCAGTTACCAGAGTCAAAAAGTTTGAGACGCATCCATCCACCCAGCTACGTTTCCCATATTAAATCACTGAATTGTCTATCCTTCGGGTAAATAAATGCCAAGTTTGGTCACTGGAATTACGGGTAGTTATCATAAATGGTCACAAACCTATTAATTTTGTACAAAACGGTCACAATTATTTAATTTTGCACGTTTTGGTAAAACAATTTGGAGTGAATAACGAATTGGTCCATCCGTCCACGTCATTAAAAATATTAATAAAAAATTATTAATCATCCCAATTAATCCGTACAATCCAACCGGGCGTACCCTAATACCCACCCTTTACCGAACTAGAGGAAGTTGGCCACAGAGTGACTTAGGGGCGATTCGTCTTCCATCCTCTTCATCGTCGGCAACCAGTCCCACCAAATCATCTGCCAACCTCTCCCAAAACTTTCACTTATGGTCGGATCGTCCTCATTGATAAAGGATAGCGGCAAACTCACGGTGTTGAAATCTGGTGACTACCGCACCGTGATGAGCAAGGGAGGAGTCGCGGAGGCGTTTACTTCCGATCATCAACCTTCTCGCCCAAAAGAGAAGGAGAGAATCGAGGCCCTTGGTGGTTATGTGGATTGCTGCAGGGGTGTTGGGCAGATTTAGGGGTTTCTTGCTGTGTGGAGAGGGATCGGAGATGCGCATCTTAAGGAGTTTGTGGAGTATATTGAGGACGTGGTGAAAAGGAACCAAGAGAAACTTGCCCGGGAAGAGGAGTGGGAGAAGCGTGAGATGGATGGAATCATGGAATCAACCATGAGCTCCAACTCCAGGCCGACCAGCAAGCCATGGCCAACTGCCGCCAAGCCTCCATAATCATCTTCCTCGAGAATTTCATCACCCCCACTAATTTTGTGACTAATTATGCTCCACTACCGCTGGAGATAATTGATTACCAGATCAAAATTGCGACCGCGTGGCGACAGGGACGACAATAGTAATCGGAGTTCAACTTCGTCGTTCTCCTCTGCTGCAAACCCTATCAATACATCGTCTGCCGCCGAACTTTCCCAATTA